CACACACACACACACACACACACACACACACACACACACACACACACTGTAGATGTTGGTGTGGATGTGGTGATAAGTTATTTCCAAAGAGAAGCCTCTGGATTCTGCCCACATAAAATGGAAACATCTTCAAATGTTTGAAAATAAGGATAACTGGGATTCTTCAAGGGAAATCACTGGGCTCCAGTGATTCTCTATTACTTGGATTGAAAACTTTACATGCAAAACTTGTCATCTTTTTCTTCAGTTTCTTCACAGCAGCCCGCACAAAGCCAAGCACAGTGTTCATACACAATAAGCATCCTGAGAACAATGGAAAAAATTAAGAAATTCCACATAATTTTCCTCAAGGGTTTCCCCAGAGTCACCAGGTGTACCTTCCTGGCTGTAAACAGCTAACTAACATTTCAGTGCCATGAGTCATCTGAGATTGAGTAAGTGATTTGGTTCAGACTGTATGATGTCACCTGTCAACTACGTGCTATAGAAACATGCTGTTTCTAATGTCTTCTCAGACATTCCAGGGACCTTGTCACTCACTTCCTTTGTCACAGGAAGGTTTATCCCCTTTGATTTCATTGTGCCTCCCATAAATGCCCTGGATGCTCTTAAGGATGACCACTCCCTCTTTCCCCCTCTTAAAGCAAGAACCAAAGCATGTGAGGTTTGGTGCTTTTTTAATAACCAAGTGTGGGGGAAGGGATAAAGAGGGACAATTCTGTTAGCAGGCTCTAGGAATCCCATGGTCAGGTAGAAAGAGGGATTCCTCAACAGTGAGGAATGTGATCATCTCTCTCAATTGCAGACACACACTGAGGTGAGGAAGATATCTCTGCACACTTGCATCATCTTCACAAATGATGGCGGGAGTCGATGGACAAAGCTGTAAATGCGTTGGCCGTTTACCTTTACCTACAGGAGGAAAAAAAATGCATCAGAAAGACAGTACGCCACCAAACAAGTTTTCAACCTCCTCTTCACTCTGCCTTAGTACCAATAACTTTCCCCAAGAAAACTCCTAGTTATGCAAGTGAACTTAGTAGACACACTTCTGTTCACACAAGACGTTTGTGCCTATTTGAGACAGTTGCCGACTTTGTTTCTAATGCTTTCTCTCGTTCTTCTAGTGAAGTTCTACACTCTGTCACACAGTCCCTGTTAACTCAGCCTCCCTTCTAACCTGGATGATCCCCATCACTAGGGACTGTGTCTCAGGAACTTGAGACTCTGCATCTTGCACAGGGTCTGCCACAGAGTTACTACTTGACCATGTTCATTGAAATGCATACTTTTCACTTCCATGAACTGTGACTGCCTTTTACTACTGATAGCACAGTTTCTCTTTGGAGTAGCCTACATCTGAGATGCTATTGGCAAAGAGCGAAACCAGTGTTGTTAGAGAGTTGAAGAAGCACAGGTCTTATAAAGCATAGGATATTATGTTTAACAACTTCAAAGCATAGGAAAAGATCCCTCACTTGAATCTGAGTAAGATGTGAATCATTTGCCGTATTCATTAGAGAAAGCCAGAAAGTATGGATATATTCCTTATAGCGAGGCTATAGAGAAAGTCACTTTATTAATATTTTTTCAAATTTAAAATACACACATTTTTGAGCCAGTTTTTCCATTTTTTTGTAATTATCTTCCAAAATAAGTATTGGGAAGTTGGTAATGACAAAAGGATTGATTAGAAAACTTAATACAGCATCATTTGTGAGAGCAAAATATTGCAAACAACTTTAGTGCCCAAAAAAGTGTCAAGTTTAATAATTTTGGGTAAACTTCTTAATGCAATGTTATGCAATCTTTAAAAACTGAAGCAGCACCATGGACTGATAATGTCTTTAAGATACATTCTTTGACAACAAAGCAACTTAGTTCCTAAATGGTAACCTGTAGAGTAAGTTATACCAGGATTTGCTTTAAAACGAAGGGAATCATAGACATATCTGCATGCTTCCATAGGCAGATACTTCCTCTGAAGGACTGGGCACGGTAGCTCATGCCTGTAATCCCAGTATATTGGGAGGCTGAGTTGGGTGAATATCTTGAGGTTGGGAGTTCAAGACCAGCCTCGTCAACATGGTGAAACCCCATCTCCACTAAAAATACAAAAATTAGCCAGGTGTGGTGGCACGTGCCTGTAATCCCAGCTACTTGGGAGGCTAAGGCAAGAGAATCACTTGAATCCAGGAGATGAAGGTTGCAGTGAGCTGAGATCATGCCATTGCACTCCAGCCTGGATGATAAAGTGAGACTCTTGTCTCAAAAAAAAAAAAAAAAAAAAAAAAGTCTCTCTGAAGGAGAGCAGAGCTCTGGTAATGTTGTTCTAATGAGTAGAATTGGGGCCCAGAAGTGAGATGAAGACTTAATTTTTGACTGATTAAAACAACTTTTTTCTTAAGTGTATTGTATTCACTGAGCTAAATGAAATTTAAATAATGGCATAAGTAGAAATGAACACTATGTGAAAAAACAGAGGAAAACCTCTACTTTGGGGGAAATGGAAGGTGAGCTGACCTTGACCTTGGTCACATTTGGGAAAGAGCTGAGGATGGCAGTGCAAGCAGAGGGCGCTCTGTGATGAAAACCTGGGGCAGGAGTAGTTATGAAAGATGGGCCCTGAGGGGCTGGTGAGGCCAGGTCAGTGAGAGCTGCCTCCTGCTCTGGGGGCCCACAGAGCCTGGGTTCTGGGAGCTCCTGGGGTGCTCACCTCGTACTCACTGTGACGCACGTAGATGCGCAGCTCAAATGGTTCGCCATCCTCAAAGGGCACGAAGTATGATTTCTCTTCCAACTTCCATATCCCAAACTCACGACTGTTCATGACCATGCGATGGCCAAAGTGCACTCGGAAATGGAAGGCAATTTCTGAGTCCTCATCCATTCCAGTGTGGAAATCCACCTGCAGCTGTGGGTCATTGCTGAGGGCAAAGCACACAGCAGGTTGGGCAGGTCCCTCCCTTGCGCAAACACACATTCAACACACACACAGATCCCTTCCCCCCTTTACCCAGGGCAAAAGTCTCCCTGATGATACTGCAGGCCTGGTCCCTGTGGGGATGCTTCAGCTCCTCATGCCCCTGGCAGGGAGATGCTGTGCTCCTCATCCCCAGATGAAAACTGAGCCAGTCACTGACCTGGGCCTGACTTGTTCATTCCCTGAAAATTCAATGCCCCTTGATGAAGAGCCACAGCCCCAACCCACTGAGTGTCCTCCTCCCCTAGGCCCCGTGGCTGGCCCACATGCAGTTGCTACAGGTCTCATGCCAGGTGCTGGAGGGTCTCCAGGACCTGCACCTGCATGAAGCCTCCATCCTGCCAGCTAGACATTTCCACATCACTCACACATAACATCAAGCCCTTAGCAAATATTCTCCCTTCTCCACCCCCTCCATTGGACCATAGAGTACTCACATAAAAGAGAGGATTGGTGTTCCTTTGATAATCACACAGGAACCAATAGACAAGGACACAGGCAGTTTGTATGGCACCTGCCAGGGTATTGAGGGTGAGTGAGAGGTGCAGGGTCAGGTGCAGCCTCCCCTCCTGTAACAGATTCCCATGGTGCAGGAGTTTAGAGATCAAAGGGCAGACTCCAAGGCCTCCCCCTTTCACCCCATAACAGTCAGGGGCCCATATTCCTGAAGATATCGTGGACCCATAGGTAAGAGCAAGGGTTCAGGATGCCTGGATTCTGGTCCTCATTCTGCCTTTTACAAGCAGTGCAATCTTAGATCCATTACTTGAACTCTCCCTGCCTCAGTTTCCCTAGGACAAGGAGGATTATCAGGAATTCCTATGTTTTAGGATGTTCTCCATAATAGAGGAGTTAATATATGTAAAACGTTTACCCTAATCCTTAGAATGTGTAGGTCCTGTTAGGGGTGAACTAACAGAACAAGGAAGTCCTCCTGAAACACTGACCTGCCTTCATTTTCACCTCTGAAAATAAAAACAAGACTTGATAATGTAAGAGTTTAAAAATTCACTCCAGTGAGAAACAACATTTGTTTAAACAGACAGGGAAATTATTTTTTTTAAAAAATAGGAAATCCCTATGTGTGGGATGTACATGCATCACAATCATCAAGGGCAATGACATCCTTCCCAGAAGGGGCCACATTGCTGAGAGCACAGCCCCAGTACTCGCACAAATGAAGCCTGTGGATCAGGGACATAACTGGAGGAAATTATTGATTCCTGCAACGACTACAAGTGATTGACGATTTTTTTGTATTTTTGAGATAGAGTCTTGCTCTTTTGCCCAAGCTGACGTGCAGTGGTACAATCATAGCTCACTGAAACCTCGAATTCCTGGGCTGCAGTGATCCTCACACACCTGCTCCCTCTTGAGTAGTTGGGATGAAAAGTGCCTGTCACTCTACCCGTCTGATATTTAAAGTTTTTTAAAGAAACAGTCGTAAACTTCTGGCCTCAAGTTATTCTCTTATCTTTGCCTCCCAAATTGGTGGAATTGAAGCCATGAGCCTGTGAACCCAGCTGCTTTGTTGACTGATATCCACTGTAAGCTCTGTCTGAACTGAGACTAAATTTGTTCCTTCATGGGTGGAGAAACAAGTTTAGTCTCAGTTCAGACACAGCTTACAGTGGATATTTTGCATGACTCGGTGTCTGAAACCTCTGCCTCTGCTGTCCTTCCCTAGCAAACCATCATCTGCACATCCTCCTGTCCCACAATGGGAAGAACAGGATAGGCTCAGGACAGGGAAGCTGAGTTGGAAGCAAGAACCAGTGGTCACTTTGTGCAGACCCCACCTCAGGAACCATCGCCCCCATATTCTGCATTCACCTTCCCCACTCTTATTGGGAAAAGACATCTACTGATCATACATTTTGCTCTCATAAGTGATCTGAGTCCTTGATAACTCATAATCCCCAAGAGCCCCACCAGTTAAGCCACCTGGGATCCACATTGACACTCATAAAAAGACACACAGATTCTTCATCAAAGGTGTTGCTGTGTGGGGAGGAAGTTTCACATGCACAGAAAGCCAGATGCATGTTTTCCCGCTTCAATACATAGTCAAATTCTAGCACACACACCTGCTCACTGTGCACATAAAAATGCTCATGCACTGGTCTGGCTGTGCTCACACACACACTCACATAACGGACAGGAAGACAAAGCACACTCACTCCCTTACACTCACTCACACATCTGCTCTTCCTGGTGGGGCATCCACCTTCCATCTAAAGTCACATCATCTCAGCAGATCTCATTCTCATCAGACACCACCACATGCTCACAGAGGGTTACACTGGTCTAGAGTCCCGAGAGTCCACACCCCACACCCTACAAGCATCTCAGATACCACAGCCTCAGGATTTCTTTTCCACACACCCACAATTCTCAGTAAAGCATGCACAGTAGAAATGCTCATATTTTCATCCCATACAATTTTCCATTTCTTTCTTGGTTTGTGTGACTTGAGATTATTGAAGGCTGTGCCTTTTCAACTCACGGGTAGAGATGACATTGGTCTCTCTTTCTGCGTGATCTTCAGAATTGTGTCCAGTCTTCTGTCCCGTGTTCTGAGTAAACCTTGGACTTGGCAGCATTTAAATGATCCCTTTCAGCCTTTCCCTCTGGCTTCATTCCAGATTCCATGCTCCTCCCAGCAACCATAGCTATTTGCAGGTCTGTGTCTGTAATGCAGCAGAAATGACAGTGGGAGGTACCAGGCTGTGGATTAGGTTACCAGGGAAATGCATAGATAAGGATGATGGAGTGAGGGAGTGATAGTAAAGCCCAGCCTTTATGCCTCTCAAGCCTTTTCTCTACTATGCAGAATCTACCCAGAAGGTGTACATTTTTCCAATTTGTACAATGGCCAAAAAAAAAAAAAAGTTGGATATTTAGGGGAAAGACATTAGCCCTAAAAGGTAATTCTTCTCTTTGCCTTTAAACTTTCTAGGAGAACACTGACATTGATCCCCAGGAGAATCTGGGCAGAGAAGTAGAGAAAGTTCCTGCATGAACCTGCTCCACACTAGGCCGCTTGGCTCTGCCAGGTGAGGGCCACTCTCATCTGACTGTCACACACCTAAGCTCTAGTTACACTCTCTCATTTCTCTTGGTGTCCATTTAAGTCAAAGTTTAAGAGACACTTTCTCCTGAAGATTCCGGGAGAAAGGTGAGATTGTTGTTTCTTCTTTGATTTTTTTTTTTTAACTTTTATTATATGTTCACCCTGACACTCAGGCTGGAGTGGTGTGGCACCAGCACAGCTCACTGTAACCTCTGGCTCCTGGGCTCAGGTGATCCTTCCAGCTCAGTTTCCTAAGTAGCTGGAACTACAGGCAGATGTCACCATGCCAGACTAATTTTTTTCTATTTTTAGTAGAGATGGGTTTTTGCCATGTTACCAAGTCTGTTCACAGATTCCTGTGTTCAAGCGATCCACCAGCATTGGCTGCCCAAAGTGCTGGAATTACAGATATGAGCCACTGTGCCGAGCCCTTTGCCAACTTTTTTATGGGTTTGTTTCTTTTGTGTAAAGTTGTTGAAGTTCCTTATAGATGCTCGGACATTAGACCTTCTTCAGATACGTAGTTGGAAAATATTTTCTCCCATTCTGTAGGCTGTCTGTTTATTGATAGTTTACTTTGCTGTGCAGAACCTCTTTAGTTTAATTAGATTCTGTTTGTCAATTTTTGCTTTTTTTTTTGTGATTGCCTTTTACATCTTTATCATGAAATCTTTCCTCATGCCTATGTCCTGCATGGTGTTGCCTAGGTTGTCTTCCAGGGTGTTTATAGTTGCGGGTTTTACATTTAAGTCTTTAATTTACCTTGAGTTGATTGTTCTATATGGTGTAGAGAAGGGGTCCAGTTTCAATATTCTGCATATGGCTAGCCAGTTCACCCAGTACCATTTCTTCAATAGAAAATCATTTTTTCGGCCAGGCACGGTGGCTCACGCCTGTAATCCCAGCACTCTGGGAGGCCAAAGTGGGTGGATCACCTGAGGTGGGGAGTTCAAGACCAGCCTGACCAACATGGTGAAACCCCGTCTTAAAAAAAAGAAAAAAGAAAGAAAGTCATTTTTTCCATTGCTTGTTTGGTCAGCTTTGTCGAATATCAAATGGTTGTAGAGGTGTGGCCTTACTCCTGAGCTCTCCATTCTGTTCCATTGGTCCATGCATCTGTTTTCATAGCAAAACTATGTTGTTTTGGTTACTGTAGCCTTGTAATGTGATGCCTCTAGCTTTGTTCTTTTTGCATAGAATTGCCTCAGTTATTTGGCTCTCTTTTGATTCCATGCGAATTTTAAAATAGTTTTTCTTCTAATTCTGTGAAGAATGTCATTCATAGTTTGCTAGGAACAGCGTTGCATCTGTAAATGTCTTTGGACAGTATGACTGTTTTAATAATATTGATTTTTCTTATCCATGAGCATGGAATATTTTTCCATTTCTTTGTGTCATCTCTGGTTTCTTTGAGCAGTGTTTTGTAATTCTCATTATAGCAATCTTTCACCTCCCTGGTTAGCTGTAATTTTAGGTAGTTTATTCTTTTTGTGACAGTTGTGAATAGAATTGGATTCCTGATTTGACTTTATACTTTGCTGTTGTTGGCATATAGGAGTTCTAGTGATTTTTTGCATACAGGGATAGTTTGACCTCTCTTTCTATTTAGATGCCCTTTCTTCCTTTCTCTTGCATGATTACTTTAGTCAGGACTTCTAGTACTACGTTGAATAGAAGTGGTGAGAGAGGGCACTGCAGAAATTGTGGTTTAAAAAATCCAAGTTGAATTTCTGCTTTATTCTTCGTGGAGATTTTGACCATGATCTGTCAAATACAAAACAGAACAGAACAAAATTCCTCTCTTATTTCGTCATATTGGCCCCACACTTTCCAGTACAGGGCTAAACGCACTAATGCTCAGCACTATGGACAATTCCATGGGGGAGACATCTTTGAGGGACTTGGGCATTATGGACAATATTATCACAGAGTAAATTTATTTTGTGGGAGACTTCAACAAAAGCTGAAAAGCCTAAAGACCTATGAGAATGAAGGCCTTAGAGTCCAGGAATGACTTTTGTGTTTTGAGCAATGCTGTATTTTCTGGGAGAAGATTGGGAATTGGCTTGAGGAGCATGAAAATGATTTTGAGTAGGTCCCAAGAAGCAATTCAAAAATTCTCTGTTGAACATTGGCTCCTAAACTCTTTGTCATCTCTTTGTATCTAAGATGTCATCCTGGCCTCCATGAGTAAAGGGTTGCATCTGAGATGAAAATGAGTGTAACAAATGGCCCATGTGAACTGAAATGAGCTGGTGAATATCAGTCAAGAAAGGGAGTCACTGTGTGTGTTGCAAGGCCAGCATGTAGGACTCTGTAGCTTATTCAAATAAAATGAGTGTCATCCAGGAGCAAGCAGACATGAAATCAGACATGTTCTCCACAGGAAATCATGGGTTCCAGGATAGTCTCCATTGACTCAGAGCAAAAATTGCCTAATTCTCCAAGAAATGAATTCCATGCTGGTGACGGGGCCTATAATTCATTTTGAAAACAAAGAACTGACCAGACTATTACAGGTATGGTGTAATGAGGAGAGTGTGCCTAATCAGAACCTTGAAAGTTTCCAATGAGAGGACAGGAAATTTCAGTCCATATTGGAAAAACCAAGGAAGAAAAGGCACGAAGAGTATAATTCACTGTGCATTGACACATTAAGGTAACTGAATGTTAGATTAGGTTAAAGAAGCAATACATTTATTTCTACATTCATTTTATTATTTACCTAGTAGTCATTCAGAAGCAGATTGTTCAGTTTCCATGTAGCTGTGTGCTTTTGAGTGATTTTTTAAATCCTGAGTTCCAATTTGATTGCACTGTGGTCTGAGAGACTGTTATGATTTTCATTCTTTTGCATTTGCTGAGGAGTGTTTTATGTCCAATTATATGGCCAGTTTTAGAATACATGCTATGTGGTGCTGAGAAGAATGTATATTCTGTTGATTTGGGGTGGAGAGTTCTGTACATATCTATTAGGTCCACTTGTTCCAGAGCTGAGTTCAAGTCCTGGATATCCTTGTTAATTTTCTGTCTTGGTTCTGTTTAATATTGACAGTGGGGTGTTAAAGTCTCCCACTGTTATTGTGTAGGAGTCTAAGTCTCTTTGTAGGTCTCTAAGAACTAGTTTTATAAATCTGGGTGTTCCTGCATTGGGTGCATATACATTTAGGATAGTTAGCTCTTCTTGTTGCATTGATCCCTTTACCATTATGTAATGCCTTTCTTTGTCTCTTTTGATCTTTGTTGGCTTAAAGTCTGTTTTATCAAAGACTAGGATTGCAACCCCTGATTTTTTTTTTCTTTCCATTTTCTTGGTAAATCTTCCTCCATCCCTTTATTTTGGGCCTATATGTGTCTTTGCATGTGAGATGGGTCTCCTGAATACAGCACACCAATGAGTCTTGACTCTTTTTTTTTTTTTTTAAGATGGTGTTTCACCATGTTGGTCAGGCTGATCTTGAACTCCCGACCTCAGGTAATCCGCCCGCCTTGGCCTCCAAAGTGCTTGGATTACAGGTGTGAGCCACCACGCCCGGCCGAGTCTTGACTCTTTATCCAGTTTGCCAGTCTGTGTCTCTTAATTGGGGCATTTAGCCCATTTACATTTAAGGTTAATATTGTTATGTGTGAATTTCATCCTAGCTGATTATTATGTACATTATGTCATTATGATGCTAGCTGATTATTTTGTACATTAGTTGATGCAGTTTCTTTATAGTGTCAACGGTGTTTTCAATTTAGTATGTTTTTGCAGTGGCTGGTACCAGTTGTTCCTTGCCATACTTAGTGCTTCCTTCAGGAGCTCTTGTAAGGCAGGCCTGGTGGTGACAAAATCTCTCAGCATTTGTTTGTCAGTAAAAAATTTTATCTCTCATTTGTTTATGAAGCTTAGTTTGGCTGGATATAAAATTCTGGATTGAAGATATTTTTCTTTAAGAATGTTGAATATTGGCCCCCACTCTCTTCTGGCGTGTAGGGTTTCTCCAAAGAGATCTGCTGCAAGCCTAATGGGCTTCACTTTGTGGATAACCCAACCTTTCTTTCTGACTGCTCTAAACATTTTTTTTCTTCATTTCAAAAAGAGAAAGCAGGAAAGATCTAAAATCAACAACTTAACATCACAATTAAAAGAACTAGAGAAGCAAGAGCAAACATTCAAAAGCTAACAGAACATGAGAAATAACTAAGATCAGAGCAGAACTGAAAGAAATAGATACACAAAAAACCCTTCAAAAACTCAATTAACCCAGGAGTGGGCGATTTGAAAAAATTAACAAAATAGATAGACTGCTAGCCAAACTAATCAAGAATAAAAGAGAGAAGACTCAAATAGATGCAATAAAAAATGATGAAGGGAATATCACCACTGATCTCACAGAAGTACAAACTACCATCAAATAATACTATAAACACCTCTACACAAACAAACTAGAAAATCTAGATAAATAAATAAATTCCTGGATATATACACCCTTTCAAGACTAAACCAGGAAAAAGTCAAAACCCTGAATAGACAAATAACAAGTTCTGAAATTGAGGCAGTAATTAATAGCCTGCCAACCAAAAAAAAAAGCACAGGGCCAGACAGATTCACAGATGAACTCCACCAGAGGTACAAAAAGGAGATGGTACCATTCCTTCTGAAACTATTCCAAACAATAGGAAAAGAGAGACTCCTCCCTAACTCATTTTATGAGGCCAGCATCATCCTGATACCAAAACCTGGCAGAGACACCACAAAAAGAGAAAATTTTAGGCCAGTATCTCTGATGAACATTGATGCGAAAATCCTCAATAAAATACTGGCAAACCAAATCCAGCAATACATCAAAAAGTTTATCCACCACAATCAGGTTGGCATCATACCTGTTATGGAAGGCTGGTTCAATGTACACAAATTAATAAATGTAACCCATCACATAGGCAGAAGCAATGACAAAAATCACATGATTATCTCAACAGATGCAGAAAAGGCCTTTGATG